GGATTTGGTGTCCAAGAAGATGTGCCCAAAGAGCCATTTTGTGCACAGGCAATGAAGGGATGAAAGAAGGAGTTGTGGTTCTCCTGCAGTCTGTGGTGGTCTCTGCTGTGAACTGTAAGGTTTTTATGTGTGCAACCATAAAAGCAATAGCAGCATTTAATGTGGGGTTGCCATCCAAAAGAGTGTGTGCCGGGAAAATAATTAATGATAACAATGCTGTGAAAAAACCATAATATTTTCTGTGTGCCACTGCAGCCTCTCCTTGACGTGCTTGCCTGCAGAGTGCTGGACCTACAGCAGGGTGAAATGAATAGGAAAAAAGAGAAGGTTTTTCAGTGCTGCTTCAAAACCCAAAATCATACTGCCCTGTGTATTTTGGGTAAAAAACAGTAGAAATTTGTCCTTGGGAATGGGAATGTGTCATGTACTTAATCACCTTGAAGTGGCCATAGCCACAGACAGCTTCAGTCACACCTGGGCTGGGACAATGGGAGCTGCCATGGAAAGCTTCTTTCTGCTTTCTCTGCTTTCCAAAATGTTGTCCTGTGGCCTGGGGTCAGGGTTTTCATTCTAGAAACCCTTCTAGAAGGTTAATAAACTTGTTAATTAGCAAGCATTTAACTGGGGTTGATGTGACTTCTTATGACTTTTACTGTTCATCACCTCTTTGGATATCCTTTTGATTAGATTTCAAATGTTGTTCCTCATTAAAGTGATGGATTTATTAAGGAAGAACAGGACAGACTTTATTTGTTTTTAACTGCAGTCTTTTCTAATCTCAGCTGTTTCCATAACTCTGGATCAACATAAGAAAGAAAATTTCAGCTTGTAAAATAACATTCCTCTTCAACAGAATAAAATACTGGGAAATGCAAATATTCTTTTTAATAGCTCCAATCAAACAAACCATTCTTGGCCACTTCAGCTGCCATGGAGTGAATGGGCTGAAATAGGGGATGAATTTGTCTGCCCCTCCTGCTGTTCCCAAGCTGATTTTAGAAGGATGAGTGCACACAGGTATCCAGGGGCCCAAGGCAGGACAGCAGCTTGAGATGGGATTATTTTTAACACATACACATACAAGTGCAACATGCACTTGATGGAAAAATGTGCCAGAAGAAGGGGAGCAATCATGGCAGATGGAGGGGAGCAGATTGTTGTTTCAGAGCAAAGGAGGAATGGTGAATGAAGTCGTGGCTCTGGGAGAGGGCAAAGGGCAGTGAAAGTACTGAGCAGCTCCTCTCATCAGCCACATCATTAACTCCAGAAAGGCTCCCTCCAGCTACGCCCCTGCTCCAATGTCCTTTGGTCTCAGATTTTCTGTTTGGAAGCTCTTGTAGGAAAAAGCTCTCAGACACAGCGATGGTTTGATAATTCTGACCCTCTCACAGATTTGCGCCTGCTGAAAATTCAACAGCAGCAGAATAAACAAGGTTGGGTGGATGTCCTTTTCTCACCACGGTGTCCTGTGCAGGGAGAGGGGACAAGCTGCCTCCAGGCTCCCAGTCCTGCCAGGACCATCTGCTGGCTCCGAGCACATTGTGAAAGCACAGGATAACCTGTTAGAGCAAAAGCAATTCCTACATAATGGCTTCATGTTCTATTCTCACAGGTTGTTTAAAAACCAATATTGAGAAGATTGTTGGCTGAGTTTGGGAGTCTTGTTGGGGATTGCAAGAGAAAATGAAAGAAAAATTAAAATAGTTGTGGCTTTCTGTGATGACCAGTAATCAATTTCTTTTTATTTGTACATCTGTGCAAGGCTCTAAAACCGGAAGATGAAAAAGAATGGCCATTTCTGTTGGCTGATGGACAGGAAAGTGCTGTTAAAATGAGTGGGTTCTAATGGCAAACATACACAGGAGTGAGAGGTACAGCCACACTTGCCTGGGGTCTGTGTGCACCATTAGGAGCTGGGGTTGTCCTGTGCTGTTGGGGAATGAAATGTCAAGGGTTTGCGTCAGATTTGGCTCTGGTTTTACTGGTGGACTCATCTGCTCTCACAAAAACCTTGTGTTCACAAGGGGTTGCTCTCACAAGGGGAGAGCTGGAAGGAACATGGCCTGGAAATGGGAAATGGCCAAACTTCCATGTACACTGGGATTTTGCAGCAATGGACCAGAAACTGAAATTATCAGAAGCAGCATTTGTCACTTCAGTCATTTGTCTTGTGTTGGTGCTGAAGTACCTGTGCTCTCTTTATAATCCTAAATCATTCTTTGAAGAACATCAGCTACAATGTGGAAACTAATCTTCACAGGGCTGAGTATCTGTGAGACTGTGAACAGAAGTGTTTAATTCTCCTCCAAATGATTGAAATTGATTTCTTCTAATGTCATTAGGTGTTACAAATTAGTAAATGAATTCTAGCTTGAATGTAAACTTGTGTTGAAGGCTGGTTGCAACATATAGCTATGAAGTTTAAAAAATAATTAAAACTCCAACCAAATCAAATAAAAAAAAGTGACTGGAACCTTAAACGTTCTGTGGTATATTGCAGAGGGGTAAATGATTGCAAGTGCTGGTTTGGCAGGTGATTGAAAGCACAAAATGCCACATATGAATCTTAAATTGCATCAGCAGATTTACTCCATTGCTTTGGGTAGAATTAGTATTAATCACTGCCTATAAAGCCTGATCCTCGTCATTGTCAGGATGACATTAGTCAGTGAGATCTGGAGGAACCCAAACAGAGTTAAGCTATTCCTGAATTATAAAATTTGGAACAGAGCCCAGACGTCATGTTTCCTCTGTCTGTGGTGGGACAAGGATCCTGTCTGAGGATCCAGCCTGGTGTGTCGGACAGCAGTGACCTGGTGGCATCGCAATCTCAGCCTGCAGCTGAGCCCTGTCACCTCCTGCATCCCTGTGACAGTGTAGGGACCTCCTCCAAGCATTTGGCAGTTCCCATCTGCTCTCACGGAGATGGGACTGTTGTGCTTCTGCTGCACCTTGGAACAGAAACCCAGGGCAGATGAGCTCCTGACTCCAGTCCTGTGCCACGGGTGAGTACAAACCCTAACAAGAGCATTGGGAGAACTTCCTTCTTTACTGTTCAGGTTCTTTTGGGACCCAGGAAGGTTGGAGTAGGACAGATTCATAGAACCTTGTGGGCAGAATCGTTTTGGAAGAGCCAGGAGCAAGCTCTGTTCAAAGAGCTTTGTTGAGCAGAGCTGAATCCAGAGAGATTATTTCATATTCTTTCATATTTCACTGGTTAATTCTCTGAAGCAAGAGAGATCTGTGTGGAAAAAAACCAGTTGTGGGAATGGAATCTGGAAATGGAGTGGAAAATGGAATCTCTGCTACTGATTTTCTCCATTTCCTTCTTTTGCTTCTACTGGAAAAAAACAGGTAACCCAAGGCAAGAGGCAGTGGTTCCTCTGTGTGAGCAGTTGCCAGTGTGCCCTGCACTCACAATCTGCTTTCCCAGGACCGAGTGGAACAACTTGTGTGGAATACTGTGTGATTTTCATGTCAGAAAATCCAGCTTTGGCATGTCCTGGCTGCTTTGATATGGCCCATCAATGTTTTCAGTATTGTTCTCCATCTTTCTTTTGAATTTTTCATCTTTCCAAGGGGTTTGAAGGTGCCCCCATGAGTACCTGTGCCCTGTGAGGTGTTAGCAGAGTACATCCCATGCTGGGGAGGTGCCTTGTGTCTGGATTGTGCTGGATTTCCAAAAGCTCGAGTACTTTACAGGAGTTACCACCTTTAAACAGAAAATCCAACTGACCCTGGCCATGCAGTTGCTGACACAGTGTTGGCAGCAGGAATCAGAGCAGGCTGAGCTTATCTTTTTTCCCTAAGGGATTAGTAACTTCTTCCTGAACAAAGCCCGACTTCTTTTTGCTTAACCACTTTTTGATCTCATAAGACAGTGACCTCACAGGATTCAAATTAAGCCTCAGGGATGCAGAAAAATCAAAATCAGTCTTCTGAGACTTCTGTCAAAACACCAAGAGAAACATGGGGGGGTTAAAAAGTGCATTTGTGTGCATAAACACACACAACCCCTCTGTTAACTGTAAGATTGGATGCTTACAAGTTAAATGCAGATTTTCAGTTTAATGACTCCTTCTTCCACAGGTGCCTGCTCAAAGAGCGAGGAGATAGTGATTATTTTTTTATGATTTCCTAGAAGAATGCTGTATCCTGAGAAATTTGATTAGGAGGACTTATCATGGAGGACTTGCTGTGCTGAGCCTTGTTTAATATTTCCTGGCACAAACCCCAGGAAGTCAGGGACATGTGCTGTGTGACGCTTAAAGGTTTTCCAAGCTTTCCCTCAGATGTGGCCCTGTGTCTCGTTTTGCGACTCCTCTTTGTTTCAGTGAAACAATACCAATCTAATGATCTGGGGTGCAGAATATCTTTGTGCTGTAAAGGTTTTTTTTTTGTTTTCTTTCTAGGCTTTGAACAAATGTTAGCAATTAAACTGTTATTGTGCAGTTCTGAATATTGTTTAAAACACAGGTGAAACTTGGGTTCTTTCACATTTTCAAATGGTTTATTTTGCAAATGTTTGTAATTGCTGGGCTTGAAGAAAGCTTTGTGTCCATGTCCATTGCATTCTTCCTTCTCATTCAGAGCACTGTGCTTTAATTCCATTAACAGAGAACAGCCTGACTGGTGCAGAGTAAGATGCAAGCTTAAAGCTTCATTTCTATAGGGATTTTAACCCTCATTGTTTCAGCTTTTGCCTTCCTTCCACATGGCAAGGCAAACCCCAAACCTTAAATTGGCATTTGATCTTAATCCTGCAACAAATCTTTGATTGATTCTTCATTGCAACAGCTCCTCACCGTCATTTTGATGTGTGCATTTAAACCTGGGACTGTTCCCCTCTGTCCCCTGGGATCCAGAATTGACAGCTGTGCCTCAAATTTCAGTCACCGTTCTTGTGAGTTTCCAATATTCCTGTCAGCACCTGCCTTCCCCCCAAAAGCTCCTTTCTCAACATCTGGTGGTTTGACTTTGTGTTTTTCCTTGTGTCGTAGGTCTTTAAATACTCTGCACCAGTTTTGCTGTCCAGCTCCATTGTACCATTCCCAGCTAGCTGTCCCTGCCACACACTCAGAGTACAGGTAAGAGTAGACATGCTCCACCCACCGCTGCTTTTTGGAGAGTTATCTGATGTTGCCATTTGACACCAGACAAGCAATAGTTGCTTTAGTTTTAAAAGGAAAAAGTGTAAACAAACAAAAAAGAATATTGGAATAAATATCCAATATTTTTGACGTCTGGTAGGGTAGCTGTGAATAGAACTATCACTGCAGTGAGTCCTTCTCTCAGGCACTCTGGAATTACTCAGTAAAATGAGTGTCATGTGCTTTAAGAAGCCCATCCCCCTGTGCCTGCAAAGGTAGGGAGAAAGGATTTGTAGGCTTAGCTCTCACACGACAAATGTGCTGAAATATTTATATAATTCATGGAGGATAATGATGTTGTTCTGAGCAACACTTTTGTTCACCCCTGCCTATTCCATGCCAGTAGCTGAGGAATTCATCCATGTGTTTAATCCCCTGAGGGTTAAAGGCATGGACCTACCCAGGGCTCAGTACTGACTTGGATTTGAATGAAATAATGGGGTTTTAAACACAACCAGGTCCTCGATGCCAAGCAGACCCTGTCCTGAATACATCCAAAATATACGTTTTCCAGCTCATAATGCTTCTTTTAACATAGATGCCTTTACTATCTATGTGTTCTCTTTGATCCAATGTAGAGAGCAGCAATTACATCCCATAGTACAATTCACTGTCAGTGCCAGTGTTTATCGTAACACCTTAGAGAAGCATCAAAGGGCAGCTAATCTAAGTCATTGGAAATGTAAAAACTGTTAAAAAATTGTGCATGCCATGGAAAATATTGTCTTGATTTTTTACTTCTGCTATGAGCAATCGACTTAGTGATTATTGCCAGCTCATGAATAATATTAATATCAAAATATTGGAAACCTGGTGCTGCAAAATCAAAATTGCTTTGCACAGGTAATAAGGAAAGACAAAAGTAAACAATGAATCCTAAATCTGTAAATGCATAAACATATTTCTGGTTTGAATATTTCATCCCATAGTTACCTCTAACCATGCATGCTTGGATTCACTCTGTTGGTTTGTGTTGCAGCATCTGTTTATGTGTTTGGTTTTTTTCTCCCATCAGAGCCCTTTGTTTATTTGGTGGTAGTGAGTCCATAGCAGAGTTATAAGACAGCTCAATATTCCTTTGGTGAGGAGCAGGGCCTGAAAACTCTTAGATTCCCTACTTGCTTTTTAGTGAGGCTTTTAGTTTTCCTGTGTCCTTGGTTGACAGTGCTTTAATTTTAAGGATCTTCCTGTAGGGATGTTGATGGGAAAACACGCTGTTCCTTGAATGTCTCAGTGTCCTGCTCCATGTAGGGTGTTACTTTTATCACTAATATTTCTTCTAGAATTAAAGCTTAGAGCAGCAGAACTTCATGCTTGAAAAATCTGAATTTCTTCAGGTTTTTTTGTGCAGTGAAGACAGAAATTCCCTGCTCTGGATGTGTAAAGCCTGTACCATTTTCAGAGCACCTAAACGTGTGCTGTGGGACTTTCAGCTGACAGCTCAGGACTGAGGGGTGGGAAGGAGCTCATCCCTGGCCTTATCTGCCCTGAAGGAAGTTTAGGCTCAGGGAGGACCTTCTGGCTCTGCTCCCTGACAGGAGAGGGCATCCAGGGAAAATGGGGGTCTGCTCCCAGGGAACAGGGATAGGAGGACAGGGAACGGCCTTAGGCTGTGCCAGGGGAGGCTCAGGCTGGATATCAGGGAAAAGTTCTTCACTCAAAGAGTTGTCAAATCCTGGCACAGGGTGCCCAGAGCAGCTGTGGCTGCCCCTGGGTCACTGGAAGTGTCCAAGACCAGGTTGGATGGGGTTTGGAGGGACAGTGGAGCGTGTCCTTGCCTGTGGCTTTAAGGTCATTTCAATCCAGACCAGTCTGGGGTTCTGTGAATAGGAGGATATGGAAAAGCTGCAGCCAATCCCTCCCAGGGACAAGAGGCAACCAAAAGAAATTGCAGTAAGGAAAATTCCAGTTAAATGCGTGGTAGGGAGAGAGGGAATTTCACCGTGAACTTGGTCAAATGTTGGAGCAGAGGCCAGCAGAGGAAGTGGGGTCTCTGTCCTCAGCCATGCTCAGTTCAGTGGGGCACCACTGGCTGTGCCCTGCTCTGAGCAGGGACTGGACTGTCCACACCTCCACAAGTCCCTTCTGACACAAATTATCCTTCATCCCACAGCACCTTGTTCTTGGAAAGGCAAAATAGAGTTGCAAAACAGAAAATTTTATTCTGTAGAATTTAATTTCAAATTATGCAGCGATGTTAATGCTGTCCCTGCCCACAGATGTGCTGCTGTGCTGGAACCAGACTGTTACAATCATCCTCATGGCAGGAATTGGTTTGGTTTACCCATAATTTCAATTTCTGAAGTTGTTATATCCAAACTGCCATCCCCATGACTGTAATCTCTGAGTCAAGTGCAAATGATGCACCTGGTTTTGTACAGGACCTGTACACAGGGATCCCATTGCTGCGAACAAAAAGGAGCTACTAGAGCTCTAACAGGATTGGGCTTTGCATTTCCACATACAATTAATGGTATTAAATTTAGCTTTTAGTCTTCCCATTTATCAATTTATAAATAGAAATAATTAGAAACAAAACTAACAGATGTGGATGCTCTGGTCTGGCTTCAGTTTTGAGGCTTTATTTAGAAAATACACAGAGGGATTAATTTTGTAGCCCAGAATTAAAAATTAAATTTGCTCCAAAAGAAGCAATTGATGAATGCACTACAGTGAAATCTGGAGCATCTCTGATTTGCTGTTAGCTAATTGCTGGATGTTTGATTCACTCCAGCAGTTTTATTTCTAGTTGAGACAATCTCTGGCATCTGTTTTGAATTGTTAATAAGGAAATAATGCATTTTTAATAACTGCAGCTATTGCAGTAATCCCTCACTCATTTTACAATGCTCAAAATAGACAGAAATAATACAAGTTATCTTGCATTCTCCTATTACAAGGGAAGTCTTGCGAAGCCTGAGCATGTCATGTCCTTCCACCTAGATACTTGTCTGGGTTCCGGTTAGCCCATATGCCTCCTCTGCTTGCTCTTTTGGGTTATTTCTGTTTGGGAATTAAAAAATAGACCAGCAATATCTGTAGCTTGGCTTCTCTGACTCCCTTCCCCTTCCTGCCTCCTGAGTAGAGCCTTGAAAACAATGACCTCTAGTTGGAAGCTGCAGGTTCCACGAGCTGCTCTGGATTCGTTAGATATCATTGGAATGCAGGTTTTATATCTGGTGTGAAGGGCAAAGTAAAGGAAACGCAGGACACCCCGGAGAGGCTTCTGAAAGCAGAAATCCCAGCAGTCCTGTACTTCAGCTGCTGAGCCTCTGGCTTGATCCAGCTGCATCATCATCTCAGAGGCCTCGCAGCTGGAATCTGAGCTGAGCAAAGCCCAGAGATAAAATGGCATCCAGAGAAAGGGAATTTAATCAGTTCAGTGTCTTCACTGAGGAAGTTTGTCCACAGTATTTTCTATGGCTTTAAATTGACAGAGAGTAGGTTTAGAATAGATATGGGCAAGAAATTGTTGCCTATGTGGGTGGGCAGGCCCTGGCACAGGGTGCCCAGAGCAGCTGTGGCTGCCCCTGGACCTCTGGCAGTGCCCAAGGCCAGGCTGGACATTGGGGCTTGGAGCAGCCTGGGACAGTGGAGGGTGTCCCTGCCGTGGCAGGGGTGGCACTGAATGGGCTTTAACTTCCCTTCCAACCCAAGCCAGTCTGGGATTCTGTGACACATCTTTAGGCAAACTTCAGTCAGACCCTCAGCCCATCTGTGCAGGTACCTCACACAGAGCAAAATTCTATGTACAGAGGTGCCCATACTGGGGATTTCCAGCCCTGTTCCTATCTGCATTCCTTGTGTGGGTATGGAATAGGCTGATGTATGCAAACTGCAGCTGTGGACAGATTTGCTTGCCACTAACGTCTGAGCATCTTTCCATCTGATGTGTTTATTCGTAACTGTGATTTCCTTGTTCTGATTTGCATGAAATGTTGGCTGTCACTCATTCTCCATCCACCTTCCATTCCTCTTATCTCGAATTAGATGCCCTTATCATGTCCAAAGACCATTTTTTAAATTGTGAAGCTAGAGATTTTTCTCTTCTTTTTTTTTTTTTTTTTCCCCAGTGAGCCCTGTGAAAACAAAATGATAATGCAAAGGATGTTATAGTGCCAAAGAAATACCATCATTTTCTTGCAGTCTCTGCCTGCTTAATGTTTAATCAGCACCTCTGGGAGGTAAAACCATCATTCTGAAAATACTGTGCTTGTGTGAGATTTTAATGTGGAATCTTTGTTTCACCAGGTAATGTTGGCTCACATGCAGCAAACCACTGTGTGGACAATGATAGAAGGATTGATTGTGCTACTTCTTTCTGTCTGAGCCCCTGGGAGGCTTTGGAGTTGTTTTGCACCATAACTGGTTAACACAGAGGCTCCCCCTACATGATGCTGAGCTTTCAGATGCTTCTATCATGTATTGGAGTGGTTTGGTTTTCCTTAACTCTTCTTAAGAGCACAGTGGGAATTCTTGCACACTGGCACAGCCAGGGAAAACTGGGAAATAGCTTGTACCCCTAAAATGAAAAATATCTATAGATAAATGTACTTCACAACTCTTAGTTTATTTTTTCCCCACTGCTGGGCACTGTACTCTTTCCTGACCCACAAAGCAAACATTTTTTGTGTCCTCCCTCCTTTCCCTCTAGAGACATCCCACACCATGCATCCTGGTCCTGTGGTAGCTTCTGGTCAATGCCTAGTTGCAGGTGAAGACATATCTGAAGGAGCTGCATTCAGAATTCATTTTAGTACTGATATGATTATTCATTGACATTTTCTACCAAAAAAAAATGTTGAATAAGGATCTAATTTCTAACTGCAATTCCCTAGCTGTCTACTTCAACATGTTTAAGCACTCTCTAGAATATGCAGAGATATAAAAGCTTGATGGCATTTTAATTTAACTGAGCAAAGGAGTGAGAGCAGCATTGCCCAGACCAACAGCACGTCCCCCAGAGAGGCAGGATGCAGATGGACAGAGCAAACCAGATACAAATTGTGACCAAACTCTGCCCTAAGTCAGTGTGAGGTTCAGCTGATTACGTAAGGCATCTGTGCTCACACCCTATGACAAAGGAAAGCTGGCATAATTGTAGTAATACTTGTAATTTTCCACTTGATGCCTACGTGATGCAGGCAATGCAAATGGTGGATTGTGTTCCTGAGCACAACTGGGAGAACTGGCAGAATAGCCTAAAATTTGGTTTTGGATTCTCTTGTTTTTCTTCCTTCATTGTGTTCCTTTCCATCCTCTTCCTTAGCCTGTTCTTTAAAGGAAATGGCCCCTTGTGGTTGTGTCACTGGTTCAGAAGTGGCCTCACTAGAGCCTCCTGCTACGCCAGCATCTCCTTCCCTGCCATAAAGCACTTTTAGCATTACAGATGTGGGTATTCCAAACTGCTCCTGCCTCGTGGCACCATTCATGATGCTGGCAACTCATCCTGGAGACAGAGCTCTTCCTTCCACCTTGGGAGGGTGGGGGAGTGGAGAGCAGATCTGGTTGTCACCAGGATTTCTGTGTGTGAGCTGTCTGCAGAAGGGGGATGATGCATCTGGAATGTGGGCAGTGAAAATACCTGGGGGAAATTCTAAGTGTGTTAAAAATAAAGGGGTCATGGACACATTAGGCTGGGTATATATATGACTACTTAATGTAATTTTTCTAATGGGAAAAACAGAAGTGGCTCTTTCAAAGTAGTGTGTCTCTCAATCTGAAAGTCAGTAGTGTTGGCCTTGGCTCATTGGGCTGGTCTTTCCTTTGTGGAGAGTCCTGTCTCTGAGATGGAAATGGGTTAATTGGGTGATGCTTACAAACAACTCACAGTATTTGGGAATTGGAAACAAAAGTAAACAGATTTCAGGCTGAATTTTCCTAATGCTGTTCCCTGTGATTCTCTTCCTCTGTCTCTTTTCTTTCTTGCTTCCCCCTTCTTTGGCAGGGAAGATAATGTCCTGCACCAGTTCTGCTGTCCACCTTCGGGGTCTAGTAGCCCATCCTCAAGATGACAGCGAAGCTGGGGGTCGCTGGGTGCAGTCAGTGCTCCACCTCTCCAGCCCATCTCTCCTCCCTTTCTGGTGTGCATGAACTGGCACTGCACAGATGCCGTGGGATCCCCGTGCTACCAGTTTGAGTAATGCCTCCTCTCCAGGTCTCCCCCAGCTCTCTCCTCCTGCCCAGTGCTGAGAACACAATGCCAGCTGTACACAGATTCCTGAAGTGCACAGTTTATTTTGAACTAAAATAAACGGTACCATAAGTCCTGAAGTGTAGTGTGAGCTTTGTTGCTGTCTGGACGTGGCCGTGTGGCGTGGAGGGTACAGCTCAAGGGGATTTTTTCTCTCCCAGATGTGTGGTGGGAGGGCAGCTGTTGTGAGAATCTCCATTAGGCTGTTTTAAGTTTGTTTCAAGGTTGGGCAAACATGAACATGTGATGTTTTATGGATGTTACTGCACAGAGATTAACCCTTCTTCCTTTCCCTGCTGCTGGTTCTGAGGAGCCAGCACATTTCTGTTGTGGCAGCAGATCCTCTCTCCATGTCTGCTTCCATCCTAAGCTGCTTTGAGCTCTGTCTTCTCCTTTCCTTGGCCTCTGTGCAAGTCTTGGGTCAACCAAAGGACCAGATCACTGCTCATGTGCCCCAGGGCTGCAGCTGGGTAAATGAGATTGTGTCCATGGGTGTCTAAGTTCCCACTGCCCACAAGACTCTTGGTTGGTTGCACCTTTCCAGACACATCCTGTGGCTTTAAAAGAACCAGAGAATTTCTTCTGGTTGAGCCTTCCAAACTTAATTGGTGCAAGCAGATACACCAGGGAACAGAATTTCTCTGCAGTGGTATTTACTACTCTGAAGGTAGTGGGAAAGAAAGACTGGGAGAGGGGAAAAAATTTCTTAAATCTGTAGTCATTATCATGAGGTAAAATATTGCCCCCCATTGTCTGGGGCTCATGTAAAGTCAGAGGTGGCTTGATGTAGGGTGAAAAGCAGGTATTTATTTGTACTTGTGTGTGGCTTTGAGGATGGGATAAAAGGAGAATCACCAGGATCAAGGAGGGAAGAACAGTGAAGGTAGCTTGAGGCTCTTTCTCATCTTTGCAATGTGCTTTTCCCCCCCACAAAGGACTCTCTATAAAACCAGAATACAGGTTGTTGCTTTTCTGTGAGGTTTGATCCACTGTCTCTATCTTTGCTGTGAAATGTTTCCTTGTGGTTGCCTTGGCTGTGAGTGTGTAGTGTCCCAGACATGGGGAGGGATTTGCTGGCACAAGAATAATTTGCCTTCATGGTTGTAAAAGTTTTTCTGCATCATTTCTGCTCACTGCTCACACTCTGTGGCTGCTGCTGTTCTTTGGTGTTGAATGTTCTTAGTTTCACATGTTTCTTAAACACTTTTCATTACAATATAGAGAAAGAACACTCATCCCCCCCACTGTAAAATTTCAAAATAATGTATGCAAAAAATAGTGTAGCAGATGACTGCAGTTTATTATATCCCTGGAAGTACTCTGATGTTTACTGGGCAGGGTAAAACACTGAAATGCTTGAACACTGCTCACTGTTTGGGTCTTTTACTCTATAATTGAGAGTTTCTCAGAGTTGCTTCCCAAAGATAGAAACAGTAGGAATTTCTGATATTTTGACTTGCTTATCTCCATCCCAGATGTAAACAGTGATTACCACTCTCTCCTCAGTAAAATGAACTCTGAAGCACTGTAATTATTCTCTTGCAGAGGGGAAAGTTTGTCCAATCTTTCAATGAGTACCTTTTAGTTATTTGTGCAAAGGAAAACAAAGAAACAAGACTGATTTAACCCTGCAAATTAAACCCCCCAACCTGAAGAGCCAGCAGGTGATTATCCTGAAAGTGGCTGCAGTTAATGATGAGTCTCAGGAGAAAATGAAAGCAAAGCCTGACCAGCGTTATTGGCTCTCACAGGATGCTGGTATGGGGTGTTTCTATCCTGTAGTTTTCCAATTAAGGGGAAATAGGGTCATTAGGGGTTGCTGGGATTTGGAACAAATTTGGAGTTTGTGGCTGTAGCGTCCCTGAATTGTGGCACTTTCTCTTCAGGAGCATACCGAGAGCTCACCTTCCCTGGTGCAATGGAAGCCAGAAATGCAGGAGTAAACATTTCTCTCTTTGAATAAATCATGGCTGGCTGAATAAAACATGCTGTGCATCCCTGGGTTTAGCAGCAGAGGCTGGTAGGGGCTCTCTTAGTTAACCAGAGGAAGATGACCTAAAATGCTTTGTATTATTATAACACAGAGAAAAGTACCAGCAGAAAAATTCCCATTCCTGGGTGATTTTGCACTGTTTTTGTGAAGAGTGAAGAATGTCTTACTATGCATTTTGGGATGGAAGGCAAAATAGAAATGGCATTTTCTTATTTTTTTAAATTTTCTCCTTCCATGAACTTGGAGGGCTGAAAAAAAGTAGCTGCTTTGTGGGAGTTCAGATGGGGAATTTCTCCTTCAGCACCTTTAGGCATTCACACTGTTTAGGATCAGGATTGTTTGGTTTCATTCTGCAGTGTGGAGTTCTCCTTTGAAAACATATTCAGCTATTACATGGTTTTGCCTGAAATAGGAGAGACTCCAGATTTGCAGAGTAACCTCTGCCTTGCTGCTATTTCCTGCACTTGTATTATTTTCTCTCTGTTAACAACTGTGGGAAGTCGCTAGAACAGCTCAGAGCAGCGTGTGGACCCTGGGCTGGAACGGGATGAACTTTGGTGCACCACTAGATGGAGCAAAAAAAAAACAACCCAAAACCATACCAGTTCAACTGAGCTAAATTAAGAGATCCATTTCCCAAAGTAGATTTTAACTAGCTGAAGGAAAATACTGTGTAATGTAGGAGAAGAAATAATCCCCCCAAAAATGCAGCAGGGCGTAGATCTCAACATGGCTACAATCAAGGGTTTAAGGAGCTCCCTTGGCCAAACCAGCAGCTGTGTCATGGCATAGAGATTGCCACCATTCCAGGCAAATCAGAATTCGTGAGGAGTTTGAATTATAAAGTAACTTGTGGCTGAGGCAGCTCCTTCTACAGGCAGGTGCCCAGGGTTGGCAATGCCACTGGGATGAAGCAGCGCTGTGAGAGCACCTGAGGTCACTGGCAAGAGGTGGGAACTTGGAATTCTGTGTTGGGAAAGGTTGAGCCCCCTCTGGAACCCCCTCTTTGGAAAGGCTGAACCCCCGCTCTGGAAACACAGTTTTGCAAGGGGGACATTCATATGGAATATTTGCCAAATGGACCATCAGCACTAATTCCTTTTTCACCTTGAACGCTGAAATGGAGCAGGGAGCTCTCAGAAAATCCAACCCCAAAAATACAAATTCAAACATTTGTGGGAGTACTCGCTGTCTTTGTGTTGTGCCAGGATTGCGTGCGGCTGGTGGTAGAATTTTTTTGAGGTGTTTTTTTTTTTTTTTTCGATAATTGACTATTTCCTGGCGTGGGGGCTAGAGGGAGCTCCAATGCAGCTTTCCCAAAACTTTCCCGGTAAATCGCTCTTGCCTGGCTTAGCCCATGAAGCTGCAAAGGAGGGAGGAAGCCAGCTCGATGTACTTCTGCACCCTGTGAACACTGGACACGGGATATATATGGATATATGTGCCAGGATGCCCTACAGCCAATGTTGTTTATATATTTTATAACTATTATAATAAATGCTGTCTATAAATGTTATCATGATTACCCTAAATATGCTGTTTGTGTTCCCACCTTTCTGGAGTGTAATGCAGGCTATGTTCCAGGGAAGGTTTGTGTTTAACAGCACAGGAAAAGGCATAGGGGGTGTTTCACATGCCGCTGCTACTGGTGGTTGTCAAGAAAGGGGTATGAGAACAAGACAGACACAAAGCAATACCTCTACTTGGCTAGTAGGTTTTTAAATAAAGAAATTTATAATTGAAAGGTATGAAGCACTATTATTCTATAGATTTTATTACTGCTAGATAAACATATCTGCTGATAAATCAGCAGAAAATCCAGGTTTATTATTCTACCTCCACTGAAGAAATTTGTAATAGTTAATGGTATCACACCTGTATTTACAAGGTGTTTGGCATTCTGAACCTTTCCTGTCATTTTTCATGGCATGGGGGTATTCAGCTGAAAGTTGGACTCTAGAATCTTAAGAGTTCTTCTCCAGCCTCAGTAATTCTGTGGTTCAGGTAGGTTTCCCATCTTCTTTTAACTCCCCAAGCTTCAGCAGCTACTTGGGTCTGGGAGGGCCCTGGCTAGGAGGGGCTGGGCTGAGCAGCACTGGGTGTTTATCCCCCTTCCCTGGGTGTTTATCCCCCTTCCCTGGGTATTTATCCCCCTTCCCCGGGTGTTTATTCCCCTTCCCCGGGTACTTATCCCCCTTCCCTGGGTGTTTATCCCCCTTCCCTGGGTGTTTATCCCCCTGCCCCGGGTATTTATCCCCCTTTCCTGGGTATTTATTGCCCTCCCCTTGCTCACCCTTCTGGCAGAAGGAAGGGGCTCTGGGGTTCAGGATGAGCCCAGGGTCAGGGCTGGGAGCTTGCGGCTCCAGGGCCCAGTTCCTCACTGGAATCAGGCATCACTCCTTGTGCTGAGCTGCCACAAAGGGATGGATGAAGAGAGACAGACCTGCACCAATCCACGAGGAGAAATGCCATTAATGAGTTCAGGGAGAGTTTTTCTGGCTGTCTGGATCCACTCCAGTCTCCTGTTCCTGGCTGTGAGCTGACCTTTTGTGCCTCAGCCACGCCACCACCCGGCTCCCTCCCCGTGGCCCGAGGATGTCCAGTCACTGACCCTCCAGAGAGGCCATGGGGACTTTCTTGGGGGTGAGAGGGACTCGTCAGTGCACCTCGGTTTTGGTTTTAGCAGCAGAATGCTACAGGGTCAGAAGGAGACAGCAGCTGTGCAGCTGATGTGGAATGGAACAAAATCACAGCATGGGTTGGGCTGGAAGGGACTTGAAAAATCATCCTCTGCCATGGGCAGGGACACCTTCCCTAGACCAGGTTGCTCAGGCCCCACCCAAAATATTTTGATTCCATAATGAGTCCAAGGCAAAAAATTGGTGTTAAAGTATTTATGAAATCAAGGTGCTGATATAGGAGGGTTCCACAGACCCTGATGAGCAAGACCCCCTTCTGTGTGCCCAGCTAACACCCTTATGTGTCATCAATGTTTTATCTCAGTAATTTCTGTAAAAAGCAGATGTTGCCGTTTTCCCTTTGGAACTAAGATTTGAGAA